CGGGTATTCATAGTTTCTACTTGACACATTCGTGCAACGTGATTCTGTGCACATGATTGAGACCAAACCATTATAGTGAGCCTGAATATTGTTGCGTACTGCCCTTGTGGCATCATTTGTATTTGGAGTCGGCCGAAAATCTCATATACTAGTTCCCCCTTACTTGAGCCAATACATGGCACATATGGCCTGCGGGCAGACCCTCATAGTGAGCCCACGATGGGTGCACCTCGTACCAGACCGCGATTATAACATATGTATAAAAACATATAGATGAACTTTTAGGAAACTCATAGCTTATAGTTAATGTGAGTTGCCTTGGTCGGCTATCACGTAAACATTTGTAATAAAAATATTTAAAGTACTCTACCTGGGAAAACTATGGGTATCATGATATATTGATCATTGCTTGAGATATTATATTATGAGTCAACTAAGTCAGCGCGTAGGGTACTATTGTATATCTTGTGTTTACTCCTAATTTACTCGTAGTTCTCTCTATTTAATAACTGATTCATATGAGCTTTCCTATCTATCGATCTATTATTCTATTTGCTCTTCCTGCCAGTACATGTTTTATATGTACTGACGTCCCTGTATATGGGGAGCTACATTTTCTTGTAAATGCAGGATCAGGTTCTCAGGGAAGCGGACATCCACGTTAAGTTCTCTTGTTGACTTCCATTGATGTTTTGGTGAGCTCCATTTCTATCCGGAGCTAGCTTGTATCTAGTACTTTTGATGATATGCACAAGTTGCTAGTTGTATACGCCGAGGTCTGTCTTGGAAAGTTATTAGCAATTTGAAGTTGCACATTTTTTAGAGGCTTCTTGGACATCTTAATGTATCAGGTTGTATAGTTTTGCTCAGATAACTACGTGGGTTGTATATATATATCATGTGTGGTTATTCCACCCGCTTATTAGTTTGCAACTTTTTACATGTCATAGCTTATTTGTAGATCAAGTATCCATACAGTTCAAGTCCGCCCTCCCTTTCGGTGCGTGAAAAAAAGATATGTCTATTTGTATAGACATGAACATTGGTGAAAAGTGATATGTTATGTTTGTGTTGTAAAAAAAACATTTGGGTCATATTTCCTTTATTGGACCGAAGAGACTATGGTCATGGGTAATTCTATAACAAATTGAATGTTGTGGAAAGGTCCTTCTGCAAAGGACATCTGGCAAGGTGTTGAATCTAAAACAATGTATATATTTGACAAAGTTATAAAAAGAAAAGAACAAAATATTTGTAGGAAAAAGTTACCTCGCGGAAGGTCTTTTCTAACCCATTATTTTTGTTTGTTCTTACTTACTTGAATCAAATTATTTGTGACATGAATACTTAGGACATGTCAATTACAAAACCTAGCAAAAACTGATCAACTTAGAAATTTTGTCTAACTTATAATGCAATAAATCAAAATGTCAAGTATGTGTTGAATCTAAGTATGTTAAACATATTTATAAATTTGCTGAAAGGAATTTTAATTCTTTAGAATTGATTTACACTGACATTTGTGATATGAAGTCAACACCATCTCTTGGTGGGAAAAAGTGTTTCATAAATTTTATTGACAATTGCACTAGATATTATTATGTTTATTTGCTGAATGGTAAGGATGAAGCAATAGAAACATACATGCAATATAAAACTAAAGTTGAAAATCAGTTGGATAAAAAGATTGTCATGATTAGAAGTGGTAGATGTGGAGAATATGAATCTTCTTTTGCAGAAATATATTTGGAAAATGGAATCATCCATCAAATTACTACACATACCCACCTCAATCTATTGAAATTGTTGACAGGAAAAAACTGAACTTTGAAGGAAATGTTTAATGTCATACTTATAAGTCAGGTTTACCACAAAATTTGTGGGGGTGCTATCATTATAGCAAAAGAGAACAACAAAAAGTTTGTTTGTTCAGAAAGAGAGGAACAAAAGTTTTATTTGTTAGTAAAGAGAGCAACAAATAAAAAAACTTTTGTTTTTTAAGAAAGGGAGCAACAAAAAGTTTTGTTTGTTCAGTCTTTGTTGTATCCTGATAGAGAACTGATTGCCGCCCCTTAAGGTATATACAAGCAATAACTCTTGAAAAATAGTGATCTAACAATTTCCAATACAGTCTATTCTATATGAGAAATGAAAATGAGGGAACTATTCCCAAACAGGTCAAAATAGGACCTAAGACTGTGGATTGTATGTTCATTGGATATGCTACAAATAGTAAAGCATGTTAATTTATGGTTCATATGTCCGAACTGTCGGATAGTTAAGTGAAGGGTCTAAACGACCTTGAAACGAACCAAAGGAGAATGTACTTAATAAAGTGATTCAGAGGCATAGTAAATGTCAATGTTCAAATTACTTCCTTCGAGTTTGATTTTGTAACATTTCTTCTTGAAAATGAGTCTCATAAATTCGAAGAAGCTATGCCCAAGAAGCTATGCCCTTTGTGGACTCATTCTTTTTGGAATGAGGCTGTCAATAGTAAGATAGATTCAATCTTGAGCAATCATACTTGAGAGTTGGTTGATCTTCCTCCAGGAAATAAACATTTGGGTTCAAAGTGGATCTACAAAAGGAAAAGAAAGTTGATGAAACTATTGATAAATACAAAGCAAGACTTGTTGTCATAGGCTTTAGACAATAAGAAAGTCTTGATTATTTTGACACTTAATAGCCACTAACTAGGATTAGATCAATTCAGATGTTAATTGCGCTAGTTGCGGTATATGACCTTTAAATTTGCCAAAATAGATGTGAAAACATTTTTTTAAAAATGGATAATTGGAGGAAGAAATTTACATGGAACAACCCGAGGGCTTTGTGGTTCCTGGTAAAGAAAAGAAAGTCTCTAAACTTGTTAAGTCACTTTATGGACTAAAATCAAGCGCCCAAATAATGACATGCGAAGTTTGACCAAACTATGTTGGCAAATGAATTCAAGATTAATGAATGTGATAAATAGTTTACATTAAAGACACTCCAAAACACAAGGTCATTGTTTGTTTTTATGTTGATGACACGTTGATCATCAAAAGAGACATTTTTGACATAAATGCTACTAAGCATATGCTAGAAAGTAACTTTGATATGAAAGACATTGAAGTTGCTAATGTGATTGAAAAGGTACTTGACAAGTTCAAGTATTTGAATTTCAATATTGTCAAGACTCCAATAAATGTGAGCTTTGTACTTCAAAAGAATGAAGGCAAAAATGATTCACAAGTGGATTATGCTAGAGTATTTAGAAGTATGATATATATCATGAAGTGTACACGATCAGATATAGCATGTGTTATTAGTAAACTGAGTCGGTTCACAAGTAATCTCAACCAAACTCATTGTATGACAATGACAATAGTTTTAGAGTATTTAAAACATACTTAAAAACTATTATTTTGCATTATAACTAATATTCAACAGTATTGGAAGAATATAATGATGCAAATTGAATCACCAGGTCAAATGAAGTAAAATCCACGAGTGGATATGTATTTACTCTTTGTGGAGGAGCAATCTCTTGAAAATCTTTCAAACAGAAATGTATCACTCGCTCTACTATATATGAAATCTGAGCTTATCACTTTAGATAAGGCCGGTGAAGAAGTTGAATGACTCCGAAATTTCTTGAAACCTTTAGCTTCAGTAGGCAGAGAGTTAATTTGCAATAGGTAGGGCATAGAGCATGATGTCTAACGGAAAGTCTCGTCATATATGACGTAGACATAATATCATTAGAGAACTACTCTCTAGTGAAATTATCATAATTGACTATGTAAAGTCAAAGGATAATGTGTCAGATCCATTTACAAAAGGCATAACTAGAGAGAGAGTTGAAAGATTATCAAAGGGAATGAGACTATGGCCGAGGACAAGTCATTGTGGCGGTAGCTCTACCTAGAAGACTGGAGATCCCAAGATCTAGGTTCAAGGAGATCAAACAAAGTCATTGATGACGGTTCAACATTGTCAAAATATTTTTGTATGGTCCATTCTCATGATAAGACAATGTTCAGTAACAAAGATAAAGGCATTAGAACTTTTTAATCAAATAGTGTCTCTATGGGATAACACATTTAGAAATCACCTATATAAGTGTGAAGTGTAAGCCGCTTCAAGGAGAATTCGGTAAATAAGGTCAGTTCTCTACGCACTTATAAACCAAGACGTGTTCATGGCTGAAACAAACAAAACAATGAGAACCAAAAACAGTTCAAGGGTTGATTGTGTGACTTATGTTGTCTAGGTATACACTAAAGCTCGATGGTTTAAAGATATCAAATCTACTAATTGACCGAATATATCCGATATATGTTCACCATGGAAAGTTCAAAGGGAAACCCACTTATCCAGATGCAATCAATCCTTACTTACGAATCATACAGTTTTTCATGCATATGTTTTAACAATAGTCATTCCCTATTCATGTGGGGGATTGTTGGGTTTTAAAGGTGTGAACATGAAATGAAGGGTTGTGACCTTTATGAAAGGTTGTGTCATTTCTAAAGGGTTGTGACCGTTTGAAAGGTTGTGCATTTTGCAAAGTGTTGTAACCTTTCTGAAAGGTTGTCTTCTTTCCAAAGAGTTGTGACCTTTACCCATTGTTGGCTATAAATAGAGAGGTTCTTTTCTCATTTTTCTGCATCGAATTCTTCCCTTCTCTTGCATACATTTCTTACAAAACAAAATCGATCAATCGTGTCTGTGTGTGTGATTCGTTGCTGTCATTTTGAGTTCGTTGAAATTATTGAAGTTTGAGGTACCGCTACTTATTTAATGGTTAATCCATTTTATCTTGGGAGGAATTAATCTGCAACCTCGGGTACTTGAAGGGATTAAATTTCTTAAGGACACACAGTGGGTTCTATGGACTCGGATAGTTCTTTGTTTTCCTTTTCATCTTTTATTATTTCTTGTTTGCTAATCTGAATACATGAGACAACACTCACTTCAAGTCAAAGTTGTAAGGAATCGAATTTGGTAGGGATTATGGAGATGAAGGCTGTGGAATACACGAACAACGATCAAATAAATCAGGATGTTTACAGTACCCTTGTGGCAGAAAACACAATTGCAGTGAACCATGATCATTTCCTTACGTACCGCATTGATCTTGATGTGGATGGTAGTAAAAATTCATTCTTGAAAGCCAAACTGAAAACTACAAGAGTGAAAGATCAGAAAATGTCACCAAGGAAGAGTTATTGGAGTATTGTTAAAGAAACTATGAAAACAGAATCTGAAGGCAGGACACAACTTGGGATAGAAGCAGCTGAATTGTTGTTTGTTAATACTGAAAAAAAGAGTAAAGTTGGAAATGATGTAGGTTATAAGCTAATTCCTAGTAAACCATCTATGTCTTTGTTAACAGATGATGATTACCCTCAAATTAGAGCAGCTTATACTAAGTATCAACTGTGGGTGACTCCTTACAACAAGTCAGAGAGATGGGCTGCAGGATTTTATGCAGATAGAAGTCATGGTGATGATGGACTCACAGTTTGGAGTGGCAGGTAAAATGATCTCTTGTCTATCTATGTTAGGCATGCCTTTCATACGTAATAGGCATAATAGATAAACAGACAATCAAACTTGACCCGAGTTGGCAAGTAAGCACTCCAACTTTGAATATGCACATCTAGACACCTCAACTCGTCTCCACGGTGTCACTTGAATGCTCCAACCTACAAAATGATCGTCACACCTCCAAAATTTATGTGTCATGTCAAGCGTCGAATGTCTAGGAGACACAGTAGGGATGAGTTGGAGTGTTTAGTTGTCAGTGGAGATTAGGTTGAGGTGTCTAGATGTGCACTCTCAAATTTAGAGTCTTTACTTGCCCGCTGAAGCCAAATGTGAGTTTCTGTTTATGTGTTATGCTTATGAAATAACTACACGTAGCCATCCATAAGAAAATTGAAAATAGTAAACTGAAAAATAAGATAGGGTATATGCTATATAACATGTTAAGATACTTTGATACACTAACACTAAAAATTTGTGTGTCATGTTAGCGTCGGGTGTCCATGAAGCACAGTGGGGATGTTTAGTTGTCAGTTGAGATTAGGATGAGGTGTCTAAATGTGCACTCTCAAAGTTAGAGTGTTTACTTGCCCGCTGAAGCCAAATTTGAGTTTCTGTTTATGTGTCGTGCCTATGAAATAACTACACGTAGCTATTCATAAGAAAATTGAAAATAGTAACCTGAAAAATAAGATAAGGTATATGCTATATAACAAGTTATATACTTTGATATACTGGCACTAAAAATAAATAATTTGTACACTATCAAGTCACCTAAAGATAACTACATGTATCATCGTTAAAATATGAGATTACTAACTTGAAAAATACCTGCTACAACATATTAAAGTACACTAATAGTATAAAAAAACAATTTATATATATTAAATTCATCTACTTCTTAGACAATAATTTCCTTGAATGTTTTTATTGTTTTATTCTTGTGTTGTAATATGCAGGAATAGATCAATTGAAAAGAAGGATATTGTGCTTTGGTACACACTTGGATTTCATCATGTACCTTGCCAAGAAGATTATCCTATAATGCCAACAATCTATGATGCTTTTGAGCTCCGGCCCACAAATTTCTTTGAAAGAAACCGATTGTTGGACTAGTGCGTTGCACGTGTATTTTTATGATAATCAATAAACTTTGCGTATATGTGTGATTTTAATTTCATCTATGGAAACTGGACTCTATGTTTTTCTTTTAATTTTCACTGTCTTTTAGATTTAGCCCATACATTGCTTGATAATTGATAACTCGATACTAAACCAAATTGGAGCCACATCTAATTGCAAGACCAATGCATGTGTTCCTCAAGATTTCCCTTTTTCTTTTTCCGTATATCAACATTATTATTATCGTTATCATTTAATTTTACCAACTATGTCAAGACTTTGATCCTTCCGCTAAAGTTAAAACAAATTTGTATAATGTGGATAATGGCATCATTTATAAAAAAAAATCAGCTATCATAAGATCATTATTGATAAAGAAAGTCAACTCTTGTCATAATCAAATGCTTGTAGCAATATATTTGTTTATTCCGTTATCACTGGAACTTATTCTTCTGTTGTGAGGCGACTAATGGATAAATTTAGTCTTAATGGAGTTTTATTTAATACGTACAAATTATTAATAACTCATAATAATTAAAAGTTTGCTTTATAGAGTTCTTTTTTAACTTATTGAGTTGAAGAAAGTCAGCCTTAGTCATAGTTGAATTTTGCAGCAATATTTATTTATTTATTATTTTTTTAAAAAAGTTTAAAGGTGGGCAGAAGATGCCCATTTATTAAAAGAATTTTGAAGCAATAGTATTTGCTTATATGTGGAAATTAATTAAGCAATTGACTTAAGGACTTCTGGAGAAATTTGAAGGAAAAAAAACTAGTATTTGGGGAAAGTTGAAAATGCTTTTGAATTTGAAGTTGTGTTTTGATGTAATTATAAATCGGAGTTATTTTTGAATTTTTCTGAGTGATTTGGAGTAAAAATAGCTTTTTTTTTAAGTTTTTCTATTGTAACAATTCTATGTCCAAAAAATTTTGTTCCCAAAAAAGTGAAAAGTATCCTTAGTCAAACACGTTAAATTAAAGAATTTAGTGTATTTACATAATCTCAAGTTTCATCTATTACTTCAAGTTCCATTCTTACATATCCTTGCCGTTACATTACGGTTCTCCGTTAATTTTGAAGATGTTCAAAATACTATATATTCCGATATAAAGTAAGATGAAGACTCTGATATCATATTATGATATTCTCTTTAGATAACCGTGAGAAAGAAGCAAAGCAAATAAGCATTAGCTCTCAATGCAAACAACAAGTTGAAGCACTTCTCCACCACTTGTACAAATAAGTGTAATATATTATTTGTTGACTTTTCTATTAAATATTGTCTAGAGGGTGTAAAAATAATTTGTTAAACGCATTTCTCGTGATCCAGCAAATTTTATATAACCACTACAAATTGAAAACAGAAGAAAAATAGATAAAAGAGCATTAGATCGATTAAACGACATTTTGGTACATTTGTATATTTTTAGTTTAAGATCATAACATTCAAAATTTTTCTTTAATTTCATAAACTCTGTGTCAAGTCAAATCATACAAACAAATTGAAACGAAGAGAGCATATAAAAATAATTTTTTTTTTGTAATAATTACATAAAACTATAAACAAGTTTATAAAATGGCTATAAAACCAAATCTCCCGAAAGGTAACAAGATGTCAAATACTATATAGGTGGAAACATCATATGAATTGAGAGCACCACTTCATGATGGAACTGATAAAAGTATTACACATTTCTGTTGCTTTTTTCTTCTTGTTCTTTTCTATTAACTGTCAATGTCATCCTTTAGACCCTCTTAATCCTGATGAAATCAACAAAATTAGAGTCATTATCCAAAAATCCCACCTTGGTTCCCTTTCAAATGTAACATTTCATTATGTAGATCTTGATGAACCAGAAAAGAATGATGTCCTACATTGGCTTTCCTCTCATAAATTACACAATGCCTCTTTTCCTTATCGTCGAGCCAGGGTAGTAGTTCGCGCTAATGGTGAGACACATGAACTCACACTAGACTTGGCTACTAGCTCTATCATATCACAAAAGTTGTACTTAGGTCATGGCTTTCCTCCTTTTACTCTCAATGAACTTATACAGTCTAGCATCCTGCCATTGAGTAATCCTAAATTTCAAGAATCGATTACACGGAGGGGATTGAATATATCTGAAGTCAGCTGCATACCACTATCAGTTGGATGGTTTGGTCAGGTAAAGACCATTAGAGTTCTTAGTGTTCCATGTTTTTATCTTGGAGGAACTACTAACTTTTGGGCAAGGCCTATTGAAGGAATAACTATACTAGTAGATGTTGAATCAATGAAGATTATTAAGTATTTGGATAGATTCAGATCCCCATTGCCTGAAGCAAAAGATGCTGATTTCAATTCGTCGAGCCAGGGATCAGTTACTTGCAATGAAACAGGATCCTCCAGGATAAACATCCAAGGTCATGAAGTCAGTTGGGCTAATTGGAAACTTCATGTTGGATTCAATACTAGAGCAGGGATGATCATTTCTACAGCTTCTATATTCGATGCTGTGAGAAATGAATATCGACGTGTACTCTATAAAGGTCATGTCTCTGAGATATTCGTGCCTTACATGGATCCTACGTTTGAATGGTACTACAGGACATTTATGGATGTTGGTGAATTTGGTTTTGGGAGATCGGCTAGCACCCTTGTCCAGTCGTTGGACTGTCCAAACAATGCGGTGTATATGGATGGTTACATGGCTGATTCAGCAGGTCAAGTAGTACAAGTCCCTCGTGCTATTTGCATTTTTGAACGATATGCTGGTGATGCTGCATGGAGGCATACAGAAATCGGAGTACCTGGAACATTAGTAAGCCTCCAACTTTTCAATTTCTCTAGTAAATTGTGATCACTCTATTAACATAATTAACTCTATGGCTTTTGTAGAACACCAAGGGACAGAAAGAAGTTAATTTGGTGATCAGAATGGTAGCAACAGTTGGAAATTATGACTATATACTTGATTGGGAGTTCAAACAAAGTGGATCCATTAGAGTTGGAGTAAGAATTAAGATAATATACTATTAGCTAGTCAATCATTTTCACTTTAATCTTCTCTTACATTTTTCATTTTTCGTTCGCGAAGGCAAGTCTAACAGGGATTATGGAGATGAAGGCTGTGGAATACACGAACAACGATCAAATAAATCAGGATGTTTACGGTACTCTTGTGGCAGAAAACACAATTGCAGTGAACCATGATCATTTCCTTACATACCGCATTGATCTTGATGTGGATGGTAGTAAAAATTCATTCTTGAAAGCCAAACTGAAAACTACAAGAGTGAAAGACCAAAATATGTCACCAAGGAAGAGTTACTGGAGTGTTGTTAAAGAAACTATGAAAACAGAATCTGAAGGCAGGACACAACTTGGGATTGAAGCAGCTGAATTGTTGTTTGTTAATACTGAAAAGAAGAGTAAAGTTGGAAATGATGTAGGTTATAAGCTAATTCCTAGTAGACCATCTATGTCTTTGTTAACAGATGATGATTACCCTCAAATTAGAGCAGCTTATACTAAGTATCAACTGTGGGTGACTCCTTACAACAAATCAGAAAGATGGGCTGCTGGATTTTATGCTGATAGAAGTCATGGTGATGATGGACTCACAGTCTGGAGTGGAAGGTAAAATCATCTCTTGTCACTAGATATTAAGCATGCCTTTCATATGAAATAACGTGGGCTTGCCAGTTTTCACATTAATGAGACAAGTCTGGTAGAAAGAGGACGTCTCTGTCCCTTCAACTGACACCAGGCAGAAATCCCCCCTTTCATTGAGGGAAACTTATTGAAGTCTGAAATCTACTTTAAACTCTTTGGAAGCTACACGTAACAGTTCATAAAAAAGATCGAAAAAATAGTAAACTGAAGAATAAGATAAGGTTCATGCTATAATAGTTACACTATCAATTCGTCTAAAGATGTAATGACCCGAAAGGTCATTTTGGTAATTTTTCGTGGAAATGACTATTTTGCCCTTTCGGTAGTTGCCCCGAGTCCCATGTTTTGTGGTTGTAAAGTTGGTTTGAGGAAAAGTTGGTAAAAAGTTGAGTTTTTGAGAAGTTGAGTTTTTATGAGTTAAAGTTGGTTAAAAAGTGCTTTTTCGAGTCATTTGGAGTTTCGGGACTCGGATCGGATTTCCGTCAATTCCGACAGTTTTAGAATGTCGAAACGGGTCTGTGTGAAGTTACGGAGTCGAATTTGGAGTTGAAACGAAGAATTGAGGTCCTAAGTTGCTAAAGTTGTGAAATTTTGATAAAGAGTTGACTTTGGTCAACATATGAGGTTCCGAGGCTCAGATTGAAATTCCGAGAGTACCGTTGATTTCGGGAGGCGATTCTAAGTCTAGAATGAGTCTTGGTTGAATTTTTAGACGCTCCGTTTGAGTTTCGAATTTTTTTGGCGTTAAACTAGTTTCTTAGCATCTTATTGAATTTCGGGTCAAGGAGTCCTCGAATTCAAATTCCGACGGTTCCATTGAGTCCGGAACGTCGAATTTAGTGGGGGTACATATTTAGTTTGTGTGCACGAGATTCCGAACGAATCCCGAGGGTCCAACGGGGACTTAAACTTTGGTTTTAAAATTGTGTGCAGCTGCTGTGTATTTTAGCTGCAACAACAGTTTCTTCCCCTTTTTTTAAAAGCCAAAAACAGTAGTCATTTTCCCCCAACTTGAAAAATACCCATTTCTCCATTTTTAGACTTTGAGAGCTCAAAAATAGGTGATTTCAAGTGGGTTTTCGCAAGGAATTCATTAGGTAAGTTATTTCCAACTTATATCTTTGATTTCCATCGATTATTTATGGATTTTAACATCAAAATTTAAGATCTCAACTGAAAAATTTGGGGGTTTTTGCCTTAATCCGAATTTAATAGAAAATTTGAGTTTGTGAACTCATTTCAACTCCTTTTTCGAAACGGTTTTCACTATTGGATTCTAAATTTCTTGGGGAACATTTTTCACTAAAAATTTCCAGATTTCGAGAATATTTTTCGGAACGAGATTTTTTTGACCATTTTACCCTTTTCTCCAAATTTCACAGTATTGGTGTTGTTAGATTCGTATTGATTGTGAGATTCCATTTATGAATAGATTGTGGTGATTTGGAGCGTGCTCGGAAGGGTAAAACTCAAATTTGAGTTACTAGTTGAAGTGTTTTGAGGCAAGTGGCTTCTAAACTTTGTTAAACTCTTAGACTACACATGACTACTTTCCTAATTGTGTTGGGGAGTAATGGGGATTGAGGATGAGTTTTATTTGTTGATTGAAATTGTTGTAATTGAAAGATGGGGAATAAAACGAGCTAAATGTGTTATATGTGACTTGAATTTGTTGAATAAGTCATGTGATAACTGATATTGAGGGGATAGAAGAGCATGAGTAGGCTATGATTGATACAGACGATGTGTAATACTATGATGTGGTTGTGATTGAGACAGATGATGTGTAATACTATGATGTGATCGTGATATGGTTGTGATTGAGACAGATAATGTGTAATACTATGATGTGATCGTGATATGATTGTGATTGATGACATGTGCATATTCATTATTCATCCCAAGTATGAACTATCTGTTGCATGAGTTCTGAGACACTGATATGAGGACGGATGGATATGAGACACAGTCGAGACTAGCTCCGGCTAGCGATTTGGATGCCGATGGGATCTGGTTCCGGCGGTGATACATGGTCCATGTGTGGCCCCCATGGGTTCTGATTTGAGTATTCAGCGCGGTCTGATTACGTCAACAGATGTGTATCTTAGGACAGACATGCATCACGACTACATGACATCATTATTGCATTTGCATCGCATTTGACTTCATCTTTGTCTGTGGTGTGTGGATTTTTCCTATTTGCCCCTCTTCATGTGATATATGATCTATTTGCTCTTACATGAGGATATGAGATTGATGTTGAGACACTGTTAGATATATCTGTTGATTATGAATTGTGTAGTATAGGTTGTTGGTTCGCTGTTAGAATGAAGTTTCGGTGGTTCGGTTGGGATTGAAAGGAGTTGTTTGTAGCTGCTAGTTTAGCTTAGCTTAGTGTTACTTGCGAGTACCTGTTGCTTTTGGTACTTACCCTTGCCTCTACACAATTGTGTAGGTTGACAGCTCTATCAGATCCGACTTATTACTCATCTTCAGATTAGAGCTTCCAGACTTACTTGAGAGGTAGCGGTTCATTCCAGACGTGCCCTCAAGTTATCTATATTTATTGTTCTGTTCTATTCTAGAACTTTACTATGAGACTTGTATATTTTATTCAGATTCTGTATTAGAGGTTTGTACATGTGACAACCAATTATGGGGTTATGTTGAGTTTATTTAAAGACTTCCGCTTATCTTTCTATCTTATTCTTGTTTTATAAATTCTATATCGTCGGGTTTTTGGGTGTTAGGCTGACGTGTCCGGTGGGGTTTGGGCACGTGCCATCACATCTGGTTTTGGGGTGTGACAAAAGATAACTACACGTACCATCGTTAAAATATGGGATTACTAACCTGAAAAATACTTGCTACTAATAGTATGAAAATTTAATGTATGCAGGAATAGATCAATTGAAAAGAAGGATATTGTGCTTTGGTACACACTTGGATTTCATCATGTACCTTGCCAAGAAGATTATCCTATAATGCCAACGATCTATGATGCTTTTGAGCTCCGGCCAACAAATTTCTTTGAAAGAAACCCATTGTTGGACTAGTGCATTGCACGTGTATTTCTATGCTAATCAATAATATTCGCATATATGTGTGATGAGTTACCAAATTAGCATCAATGAATTCTTTTTCAAATTATTCTCTTGGTGCAGCATCAAGTTTTCTCAAGTTAAAGTTTGAATTACTGCTATAAAGTCACTCAACTATTGCTATTTCACCAACAAGTCACTTAACCAATTCAAGTTATATTTAAGAATGGTTGATTGATTTTTGTTCTATTAAACAAAGTTGTCTAACTTCGTGAGATACATAAAAAGTGTTAGTTGAATGAGCGTTTGAGAAATTAACTCAACAATTTGACAAGTCATTTTAGGTTCAACTGAACCTTGTTTTAAGTCTGGATCAAATTTCAAGTGTCAACACATGTGTATTCCAAAGTGCAATCAAAGATCAATTAATTGTTGGTTTTGGCTTTGATCAATGCCTTTTCATCATGCTGTCAAGATTGACTCAGTCTTCTATAGTACTCTCATTGGTGAAGATCACTTTCATAAATTTAATGCATGTGTTTACTAAAGTCATGATCATCACTAGAAAGATACAAAGATTTTTCAAGAAACTTTAAGTATTAGAAGACTTGCAGTTTCCAGGAAAAAGCTTGGTTGGAAAATTTCATCATCACTAGAAAGATAGTCAACTTGTTTTCTCCCTCCGTTTTAATTCGTTTGTCTTACTTTTCTTTTTAGTCCGTTGCAAAAAAAAAAAAAATTCCTTTTTTCTGCAGCTCTTTGCTTTTAGCTTTCCACGTGGCATGCTTAAGACCATAAGATTAAGCGATATTTTGGTACATTCTACGTATTTTTAGTTTAACTTGATAAGATTCAAAAGTTTTCTTTACTTTTCTTTAACTCTATGTGAAGTCAAAACCAGACAAACAAATTGAAACGGAGGGAGTAGTTTGTTTATGCTTCATTCACTGGTTTCTTGTTTCTCATTCTTTGCTATGGAAGTAATTGAATCCTAATTTGTTCATGTTTACTGCAATTATTTTAGAAAAAGTATAAAAGAAGAAGACTAGTTAGGTGCATGCATATAAAGAAGAAGACTAGTTAGGTGCATGCATATAAAGAAGAAGACTAGTCTTATATCAAGTACTCATTTTGAACTAACTCCCAATTTACATGGTGCATAGAAATCTTCCTGTCATTTTCATGACTTGGCTTACCACAATCTATATAGACTATTTCTAGATAATGTAATCCGTCTATCGCAATTTACGTGGCAGACTTTTCTATTTAATCCGTTCCAAAAGAATGTCATCTTTCAATAGTAAGAAGAATTTAACTTTAAAATTTCTCTTTTACCAATAGTAAAATGATTTATAGTCACATAAATATCAAAGATTTGTTTTAGACCACAAATTTCAATAGTCTTCATTTTTTCTTAAATTTTGTATTAGTCAAATGGTGCCACATAAATTGGGTAGAGGCGTAATAAGAATGTGACTTATATTGCAAGACAAATGAAAAGAATTCCACACATTCCACTGACATCATAATCATAGCCTTCTGCATTATAATATGCAAGTCTTTGAATCATGGCATTTTGACTAAAAGATTTTTACTCTCCATTTGTATCAAATAAGTTTATTTGTTGTGAAAACAATTATAATATCTCAAAAAGAATAAAGTTTTTTCCGTAAGATTCCAACAACTCATGGTGTAACAATGGTTTCTTGGAAAATCCTGTTATGGCTTGTCTCAATTTATCTTACATTTATTAGCTCTTTCTGTCAAGAAACTACAAATATTGTCCCTCTTGGTTCCAATATCACAGCTGGAACTGAATCTTCACACTGGCTTTCATCCTCCGGAGATTTTGCTTTTGGTTTCTACCAGCTTAACAGTACTGGACTATTCCTTATTGGCATATGGTTTGATAAAATCCCCGATAAAACTCTCGTTTGGTCAGCCAATCGCGATGATCCAGTTCATGCTGGATCAAAGGTTAATCTAACTTTGAGTGGACGCCTTGTGTTGACAGATACTAATGGGAGAGAGTTTGTTTTGTACAATGGCACAGGCACTAGTCATGCTACTATGCAAGATGATGGAAATTTTGTCCTGAAAAATTCATCCTCAGGTGTCTTGTGGGAAAGCTTTGATTTCCCAACAGATACAATTTTGCCTGGTCAATATCTTGATATGGGGCAGGCGCTGTTTTCCAGTGCCAATGGGACAGTAGATTACTCGACGGGGAAGTATAGACTACTGGTGCAGACTGATGGGAATGTGGTCTTGTCTGCATATAGAACTGCTGATTTTGGCTACTGGAATTCTATAACTGCAAACAATAAAAATGTAAGACTGGTTTTCGACAACACCAGTGATACTTTGTTCATTACAAATGGAAGCTCAATCATATCCAACATGACATTGACAGCGAACTTGCCTGATTCAGTTCGAGATTATTACCACAGAGCTATGATCACTGATAAAGGAGATTTCCAACAGCTCTTCCACAGAAAAATAAATGGGAGCGGTTGGAATGTTGCGATGCAAGTTATTGTGAAGCCTTGTATTGTGAATAACATTTGTGGTGTATATGGCTTTTGCCAATCACCAGACAATAAGGAAGTCAATTGTAGTTGCTTGCCAGGCTATTCTCCAAGGGATCAGTACACTCCATCTAAAGGATGTTATCCGAATGAGATGAAAGATTTTTGTGATCCGAATTCTTCCCTTTCGGATGTCTATGTTGAAAGGATCTCTAATGCTGATTTCCCTGATAGGATGTATGCTGAACTAGAAAGGGTATTTGATACTACAGAGGAGCTTTGCAGGCAGGAAGTGTTGAATGATTGTCTTTGTGAGGCAGCTGTGTTTAATGATTCAACATGTTTCAAGAAGAGGATGCCTATACAGAATGCCAGAAGTATTAATCCTGATACAAATAACATGGTTGCATTTCTTAAAATTAGCAACTCTTCAATAACTCAAAACAAAAAGCACTCTCTATCAAAGGGTGTTTTGGTAGCTGGTGTGACAGTATGTTCAGTACTCGCTCCGCTTTTTGCAGCAATTGCTATATATTATCACCCTTTTGTGAAGAAACATAGAGATGCCAAAACCCCTCCAAAAAGAAAGGCAATTGAGATGAATTTAAGGGCATTTTCGTTCCAGCAGCTGCACGAAGCCACCAACGGTTTCAAGAATAAATTAGGCCAAGGGGCTTCTGGTGCTGTTTATAGCGGAATTCTCAAGTTAGAGGATGAAGAAGTTGAAGTTGCTGTGAAGAAATTAGGAAATGGAATTGAACAAGGTGATGATAAAGAATTTTTGGCAGAAGTAAGGGTGATAGGCCTAACACATCACAAAAATCTGGTTCATTTGTTAGGCTTCTGCAATGAAAAAAGCAACAGGCTTGTTGTTTATGAATTAATGAAAAATGGGGCTGTGTCAAATTTGATCTTTCGGGATGGACAAAAACCAAGCTGGAAGCTAAGAAGTGACATGGTACTTGACATTGCCAGAGGCCTGTTATACTTGCATGAAGAGTGTGAGAACCAGATCATTCATTGCGACATTAAGCCACAAAATATCCTTCTTGACAAGAACAACACTGCCAAAATTGCTGATTTTGGTCTTGCAAAGCTTCTTATGAAAGACCAGACGCGAACAAACACGAATTTTAGAGGAACCATGGGTTATATGGCACCAGAATGGCTAAAAAACGTGCCCGTGACAACCAAAGTTGACATCTACAGCTTTGGTGTTTTGCTGCTTGAGATTATTTTCTGCCAAAGGCACATGGACTTGAACCCAATCGGCCAAGAAAATGAAGAGCCCGAGTTGATCTTAGTCGATTGGGTTCTTCATTGTATGAGAAACAAGAAGCTGAGAGCTGTTGCTAGTCTTGATGAAGAAATTATGTTACATTTTCACAATTTTGAGAGGATGACTATGGTTGGCCTATGGTGCTTGTGTCCTGAGCCGAATCTTCGACCATCTGCAGCAAAGCTTGTTCAGATGTTGGAAGGAACTATAGAACTAGGTGTTCCTCCTATGGTTGATACAACTATATGAGTCATTTTCTGTATTATCTTGTAATTTTTCCAACAATTATCATTCTGTTTTATTAGTCATTAGACCTGGTTAAATTTCATTGTTTTTTCTCATAGTTCTCTGGTGCAAAAGTTAGGCGTTTTTTTTCTCTCAAGTGAGCTACACTTTTCCTTCTGAAGAGTATTCTATAATGTCACTAATGCTTGTGTTCAAGTTCACGGTAATAAGCAATCACTTCATTTTCAAGCAGAAAATGGGTCATCGATTCGTCCAATATTGGAGAAGCATTAGTATAAATTCTTATACACAAAGCACTACGAATTATTTTGCATCTCCATGGTGTTTCTTGAAACTGTTTTTCGAGAAACTGTTAATGAACTGTTCTATCTTTGGTCATGAAATCCTTTCTCTCTTTAGTTAGAGTTCTACTTACTATGAAGCATGAAGAAGTTGTCAAAGCTCCAATCAACGTGATTTTGGTAACATGTCAACATCAGTCAGAAGCTGAACACCTTCCCCACATATTCATTGAGGGAAAAATGAACCAGGTATGTGTATATATCATAAGTTGAATTTTCAATTCCGTCTTTATTTGTATAAACTTAAGTCATCAAAATCAAATTTTCAACTCTTGTGTTGTTTTCAATCATTCTTTTCACCATTAATAATAGATAGACCGAAAAAGGCGTTATCATGACCAATTCTCTAGTCCACCACTAGCTAACAGTCAAAGAGAGTTTTTTAGAAAAAAGACCAAAGTTCAAGTGTCAAAGTTGATGGCTTTGATAGTACAAACAATTTCTGGTTAGACCAAGAAATATAGTGAGCCATTGTGTATATGAAATCATTTGTTACTTCCTATTGTCTAAACCAAGGCCTTCTGATTTCATACAAGATGAGAATATCTTTTAATCTTCTTGCATTCCTCCTCCTAGTCCTTCATCATCAGTCAAATGGCCAAAATAATCCAAATATTAGCATAGGTTCTACTTTCACTGCTGGAGAAAATGTTTCTTTGTTATCCTTGTCCGGGGACTTTGCCTTCGGATTTTATCCTGTTTCAGATACTCTTTTCCTAGTTGGAATTTGGTTCAACAAAATCCAGAAAACAACACTTGTATGGTCAGCAAATCGCGACAATCCAGCTGAAATCAGATCAACTATTAGTCTAACAAATGATGGTCAGCTTGTGCTCAACTATGCTAATGGCACAGTTCAACAGATTTACAATGAGTCTGCAAGGTTGGGAACCATGCAAGATGATGGAAATCTTGTCTTGAGAGACTCAAGTTCAAATAAAGTTTGGGAAAGCTTTAAATCTCCCACTGATACACTTTTGCCAGGACAAACTTTATTATCAGCAGGAAAGCTCTATTCTAATTCTATTTCGGATGGGAATTCCAAGTACTCTAAAGGGAAATTCATGCTAGAAATGCAAGCTGATGGAAAATTGGTACTATCTGCTTATCATTTTGGAGACACAGGATATTGGCTGAGTAGTTCAGTTGATGAAGGAAACCGTGAAGTGAAATTAGTTTTCGACCAGAGGAATGCATCTTTGTACCTTGTGAAAGATAACAATAACACAATTTTTTCTTTTCCATCGAATGTGCCAACCCCAGTTGAAGACTACTACCACCGTGCAACTATAGACAGTTTTGGCAACTTCCAGCAGTATGCTTATCATAAGACTAATGGTAGCAATTGGATTAGAGTTTTGAAGATCCCTTCAGAGCCATGTATGGTTAATGCTGTTTGTGGGGCTTATGGATTCTGCAGCTCAAATGATAATGAAACTGTAAATTGTGACTGTCTTCCGGGGTATGTCTTCTTGGATCCAAGTAATCCTACCAAAGGTTGTCATCCGGAGACAATGATCAACTTCTGTGCAGGTCATCTATCTAGCGGAAATTTCACAATAGAGGCTATTCAGGATAGTGACATGCCTTACAATGAGGTTGGGGATTATGAAATTTATCTTGATGTTGACGAGGAGGAATGCAAGAAAGTTATCATGGAAGATTGTTATGCCATGGCTGCTTCTCTAATCAATAGGGAATGTCACAAGAGGCGTACTCCTATACTCAACGCCCGTAGAATTTCTATGACCACAGGCAGCGTTTCCTTCATCAAGGTGCCTATTAAGTCAGCTAAAGATGACATATCAACAAAAAAGAAATCCAACACCAGAGCCCATCTCACTGCTGGCCTTATAACTACCAGTTCACTTACTTTCCTATTTGGAGCCTTGGCGTTTTACTATCATCCTGCTCCTCGGAGACTTGTAAAACGAGAGTGGAATCCAAATTCATCAAGAATAGGTATCAATTTCCGCGAGTTCACATACAAAGAACTGCATGAAATAACTAATGGCTTCAGCAAGCAACTTGGAAAAGGAGCTTCTGCAAAAGTTTACTATGGGAATCTCAAGTTAAAGGATGTTCAAGTAGAGATTGCGGTGAAGCTGATGAAAGACGTTGCAGAGCCAAGTGAGAAGGTATTTATGACAGAGCTAAAAATCATAGGCAGAACTCATCACAAGAATTTGGTAAAGCTATTAGGATTTTGCATTGAGGATAATCACTTCATTTTGGTTTACGAGTTGATGAAGAATGGAGCTTTATCAGATTTTTTGTTCAAGGAAGAAATACTGCCTACTTGGAGTCATAGAACTGAAATGGCACTAGGAATTGCAAGAGGACTGCTTTACTTACATGAAGAATGTGATTCTCCAATCATCCACTGTGACATAAAGCCTCAAAATGTACTTCTTGACAGTAAATACAATGCCAAGATTTCAGATTTTGGGCTATCGAAACTCTTGAAGAAGGATCAAACAAGAACAGATACTTGCGCAAGAGGGACAGTGGGATATTTAGCACCAGAATGGCTAAAGAATGCTCCAATAACACCCAAAGTTGACATTTTTAGTTTTGGTGTAATGTTACTGGAGATAACATGTGGTAGAAGGCATATTGAGCTTAGCAGGGTAGAGGAAGAGAGTGAAGATGATGAAGGTGATGATTTATTGCTTGTAAATTGGGTTTCAGGCTGTGTGAGAAGTGGTAGAATTGACAAACTTGCAAGGAGTGATCCTGAAGTATTGAATGATATTAAAAGACTTGAACGATTCGTGAAGGTGGGATTGTGGTGTGTCCATCCTGATCCAACTGTTAGACCTTCAATGAAAATAGTGATGCAAATGCTTGAAGGCATAACTGAGGTTGGAGTTCCTCCAATGTTTTATAACTAAATGATTATTTAAATCATCAACAGGGAGGAGCATCGGAACAAGACGAAAAATTGGAAGGAAAAAGGCCTCCTTGGCTTTGCAAACTGGAAGTGAATAATGAAAATTGTCATAGTGTTAATATTTAATACTTGTGCTATTGTAAAATTATTCTAAGTCTCAGAGTTTGATTGTTAAGTTTTTTCTTTTTTTGTATGAAGTCCTGAATTTGAATTGTTACTTTTGCTAGTTTATAATCTGCACTTCAGTTTCTCCCTGGTCATGTTTGTTGTACCTTTATTTACTCTGGGGTTTGAGTATTTCTTGTTCTCTTCAGTTCGATGTTATCAAAAGCAAAAAGCACAAAAAAGTTCTAAGGTCCTTAAGCTTTAACGAAAAATGCACAAGTATAGTGTTGCCATTAACAAGAAAAAGTATACCTTGGAAACTCGATGATGTAACAAACTCAATAGCTACACCAACACAATTTAAACTCAAACAATCGATAAATATATTTCACTAACTCGTAATTGGAATTACAAAGGAGTTTAAGAACTAAAATGGAAATTGAAGAACATAGATAGAAGAAAGGAGATGAAAAGCAGAACTCAGAGAAAGGGATGAGAGAACTAGACATTTTACTCAACAACTTTCATAAAGTGTTCTTTCTCATCCGTCATCCTTTTAGCTAGTTGTTAAGTGGGCCTGAGTCCCAAATGAGCCTATGCAAAGGCCTTCTAGTTTTATTGCTTCTTCTTGGCCCAATAACTAGTTGTGTGAAATCCGTGTGGGTATTGACATTGGATTGAGGCTTGTTCATAACAGATGATGACACTGAAATGCACATTAAGTTTCCAATACATTAAAAGTGATTTATAAGTTAAAAGTGAACCCCAACTTTTAACTTTTGCCTTTTTTTTTGTGTACTTTTTCAGGTTTAAAAAAGTTCTTAAAGGCACTTCTTTTTGTGTTATCCGAACACTTACAATATTAAAAAAAAAGTCACTAAAAATAAATCAATCTGAACCCCTTTTTAAGTGTTTTATTACCTTAGAATCCGGAATTCATCTGTTTATTTCCCAAATACTAAGCTGAAAGTGTTGGGCCAAGTCCAATTCCAACAGCATTAGGACTTGATTACTTTAATAAAGATAGCCATCAGATGTATTTTCAGATGGGCATTCCTTTATATTTTAGGATTATTTTGCAATTTTTTTTGGCCTTAAGTGAAAATATAAGGATACTAAAAAAAAAAAATGCAAACATCAACGATAAAAAAGACAATTTAATTGCTCTCCTTTTTAAATTGTGAGATTGTATTATATAAATTCTTCAATTCATGATGCATGCATATGGCTAAAGCTTAGTTTATAATCATAAAGTACTTGTATAGCATGAGTTCATGTCAAAATTATTGGAAATATGTAATTATGGTCAATAAGATCAATAATGATAAAAAAATCTTAATATCAATTGAAACCTTAACAAAATCCCGAACTCCTAGAATTCCATTGATGAATTTCTCACATACCTTGATGAACCCTAGATTTGGAATTGAAAGAGGAGACTTGAAGCTTGAATAACCCTAGGCCCATGTATGGTACTCTCTTCTAAGGACCGTATTGGTTGTCCTTCAAATAATTACTGGAAATCCACATCTCTGACCAAGAACCACGAACCGTCGATCAAACCACGAGCCATATACACACGTCGTATATTGATCCTCAACCTTAAGCCTGGACCCTCATACTACGAACCCTTGATGCCATGTACGGTCCATACATCCTTTGACAGGCCATACTGGCTAGGCGTAGTACACTCACTAAAGACTTGGCTTTTCTGAAGGTTAACTACGAACCAATAACGTAACTATGAGTCGTGTTAC